TTTGGTATGCAGTTGTCTCATGACCACTCAGTTCTTCATGCTCAGTCGTTTCACCTTACACTTTCTTCCCAATACTCTAGTCCTCCTCCTCCTCTATCTAGGTAACCTACATCAACATCACTAGATATTTTTTACCTGATCACTACTGAAAATAAAACAGACCGATCTCAAATTGCCCCATGAGACCTTCTAATTAGCAGCTTGTCTTTAACCAGACAGTCTCTTCCATAAACAAAACTCTCTGCCCTCTTCCTGTTAGCCAGTTCCTCCGACAGATTAGATTTCTCATACTAAGCCCCTTCTAAACTAAATTATAATGCCTCAAGTGAAGTGCTTTAAAAGCCTTGCTGAAATAGAAATAGGTTTGATGCCTTGCATTTTTTTTGCCTACAGAATAAGCTATCTTATCAAAAAAGGTATCAGGTAACTCTGGTAGCAACCATTTTTGAAAAACTGTGTTGCATTTTAACTCAAAGCATTTGGACATCAATTATCCTGGCCCAGCCTCTCTTTCTTATTCCTTCCCCTGGCCCTCTCCCACCATGGTTCAGACTGACATTAAAATATACCAGATCTAGTGGACTCAAGTACCAAAGCTGGAGTAACAGACACAAGCAATGAAACACCTTTTACCATAACTACCAGAGCAAGGTCATTCATTTATCTCAGTTAAAGGATCATAAGTGCTATAATTTGATCAGATACCAAGGAAACCTGTTCAAGAAAGGGGCATTCTGGTATTTCTAACCAATCTTAGATAACTATCTAAAATTCTGATTTGACAGTTTTTGGACAGACCCTGAAAAATGGGTTTTTTGTTTGTTTTACCCTTCTCGATTTCCAGACAATACAAATCAAACACGGAGAGAACGTGCCAGCTCCCGCATGCCTACATGTGCGGATAGATATGAGCAAAGATGCAGGAAAATTAATCCCAGCAGTGAATATGGATTTGTTTCCCAAGTAGAAAAGAATTCACAGCTTTCTGTAAATGAATGAAATTAAATAATAATAAAAAATAATCCTCCTGGCCAAAATAAATTATTTTATGAATCAAATAAATGGAATTGTAAGGAGGAAACAAAACACTCCTTTTAAGTCTTAAAACCAAAATTGCTTCTGTTGTCTTTGATCTGATTTAAGTTGTATTAAAGGTCAACGAACATTGGAACAAATGTTGCTAAATGCTGTACTCAATGGATAAAAAGAAAGATGAAAGTTTGTCTTTATTGTCCATAACACATCACACAATGAGCTCACCAAAGTCACCAGCTGGGGCCTCGCAAACCACATTGACCAAATAAGGCAAAAGGCTTCGTGCCTGGAATCCTTTCCCAGTTACCTCACCCGGCTTCTGCTTGCCTTTCTACAGTAATTGCAGAGGTCATTTTTTTAAACTCAGATGGAGTAAATCAACAGGCTATCCAATGCAAAACTGGGTTCGTGTAGTCTCTGGAGAGAACTCAGCTTTATTTAAACTGAGTGTGTGCAGAAAAGGAATAACTGAAATATGTGCAATAAAAACAGAAGAGCAAGTAGTATAAATCGAGAAGAGCAAGAGATGGTGATTTGTATATTGCTGTTTAGGTTACACATACTAATGTTTTATGGTGAATGTTTCTCAAATTTGTTGGGTACCTTCAGGTTTTTAAAGTGCACCTGAAGAATTGGTCTTTAATGTTATCTTATGACGTTCCAAAAACACTTGAACTTTGCACTCTGAGTTTATACTGTCCTTGTATTGAAATATAGCTCCGTAACATCAACAGGATATATTGTATCCTCCATATTCTCTTTGATTTCTGTGACAATATTTTTTGCTTAAACATGCTAGAGTTTTGAAGAAAAAATGAAATATTCTCATTCTCTATTAAGCATAACTATAAGATAGTTGTAAGTACTTCATCGTGGTAACAAAAATTATTTATTATTATTAAAACAAAATTTATTTTCTCTTTTTTTTCCCTACACATGTGTGGATGGGAGGGGATGGGTGGTTTTATCTCCAGCTGAATTTCATCTGGTATTTTAGAAAAGAAAAAAAAAAAGCCCAGCAAGCGCTTTTAAGCACTCTCTTGCTTAATCTTCACCTCAGCAAAACCTAACAGTAGTACCTAATATAATTTCCTATTATGTATATTGGTAAAACAACTATATTTTTCCTCCACAAAATTTGGAAACACAGCTTAATGGGATACTATAATTGATAATTTCAAAGTCCATAGAAGAGAGAGAGAGTCCACCCAACAGCTGCTTGCATCTCTAGCTTCTACTGACGTTGTTAATGCTAAAGGCATATACAATCAATCTCCTGCTTCTATACCTAATCTTTTTAAATGTTAGTCCATAAGATATTATGATGCAAATTGATTGTAAAGTCACAGCTCTAGAAATATATAAAATGGCAAAGCTATCTGCTATCCTGTGCAGTTTGTAGCATTTAGCTTCTCTTCAGAGAGGAACATATGCACAGAAATGTTTTAGGGTTTTGGAGGGGAGAGGGGTGATAGAGAAACAGATGCAATTTTGTGTTTGATATGAATACAGTTCTACACACTACAGAAAAAAAAAATACAGCTCACACTTGGTATTTCAGAGCAAAAACTAACAATTGATACATGGTCCACGCAGCTGATGCAGAAGACTGAAAATAAGAAGTGACCTTCTCAGTGTTCTGTGAAACTTGCTGCTGAAATCCAAATAAAAAGAAAGCATCTACAGTTTTTGCTTGTCTATCAGTGCAGATCACCCTAGAAGAGTTCAGAGAGCCAAATCTCTGTACAAACCTTCATTAACTGCAGATAAATAAGTAGGAAGCTCAACTCACAAGAGTTCATGAATGCTTAAGGGTTGATCTCAGTGAATGGAAGTGAAGGTAAGAGATCTGACCATGTTCTCAACTTTACTATGAGTTTCACAAGGTCCAGATTTCTACTCTATTTCATATGGGTGTCATTATTCCTAGATCACAAGTTATTTTGTAAAAAACTGTACTGAAAGAAATTAATTTCTCACTTCTTTGTGTTGATACCATTTAGTTAAAAGCCAACTGTAATTGCTTCAACTGATAAAAATCAATTCAAAGGTGAATGTTTGTATTGCACTTGGTTATGAAGAAGGTCTGAATCTCTAATTTCTGAGTTTGGCAGTTGAACTCCACGTGCAGTAGAAGAAAATATGAGTTTATTTGACATTTTATAAAACAGTGAGCTGGGAGAGCTCTCTATAGGGTATCAGTGTGAACTGCCTAAAACACAGCTCTGCATAACAAAACCCCATTAGACACTGATATAAGAGTTAGTTGAGCCAGGCTCTCCCCTGAACTCATTCTGCATACTGTTGTGTGACCACAGACAAATCAAAACAACTGCTGTAAGAGGAGCAAATGGCCATATTTTATCTGGAAGAGATATGGAAAAGAAACCAGCCATTGCAACATATCAAACAGAGAGGACTCAATCTGTCCTGTAGTGCCCTGCCTTTAATGTCCAATACTTGATGGTAAAAAAACCAAGGAAGTCATATTATATATGTGTTGACATCTACTGAGCGATATTTTAAGAAGAGTGTCTTATAAAGCTCTGCACAGAGCCCTGTGAACCGCCTGTGGATTGTCTCTCTTGATGTATCTAGTCAGTTAATAGAATGATGGGTTAGGCTTTCAAACAGGATGCTCTGCAGAGAAGAATAATATATCTTAAACTATAGGAATATGAAATAAAATGGTAACACGAGGAACTGAACAAGACTACTAAAACCTATTGAAAAATAAAAATAATTTTGTGCTGGGGTTAAATTCTGGTTTATGCAGCGTAGTAAATAAACTCCCAGCCCCGCATCTCACAGCAGCATAGGGGTGGGACAAGAGAAGAATGTAGTTGTACACAAAAACATATCAAGTAAGAGAGTAAAGAACATCCATTTCAGAGAAATCTGACCCCAAGTTCACAGTTAAAATTCTTCACAAACATCTACTTAGTTCCTGTGCGGAAGCAGTTGCATCTGTTTGCTACACATTCACAACAGCAGTACGAGAAATATAAACCTTTGGTCTCTCTTTCCAATAGTTCTGTTTTTCTTCTGAGGTTGTTTTGAGTACAGCACAAGCACAACCTCACCTGCAACATCAGAGGACTTCTTCTGTACTCATTTAACCTTACAAATGGAATATTTCCCAGAAATTTTTATGAGTGCTAATGTAAGATGCAAAATGCTTCAGAATTTATGCAGGCAGAAAGAATTGTTACTAACCATACCTCCAACTTACTACCACAGCCTTTATGCATCTCTCAGAGACTGTGATCAAGGCAGTCACTGATAGCTACATAAGAATCCAGGATCAGAGGGAAAATACCTCTTCTAGATAGTTCCTTCAAGCATTTTTTCCCAATATTATCTGACTTCATGGGCTGACTACTGAACCTTGGTATAGACAACCCACACTGTTTCACAGATATAACACTTAAGACCAAAGAACTGCCTTGAATTACCGAATGGAGTACTTCCACCATGGGAATATCTCTGGAGAATATGAATATTCTGGCAAAATGAATATGAATCACTGCACTGCATCTGCCATGTAAAGAGGAGAGGGAAAGCAGAGCCAGACAGTATGCCTAAAGCACAGACTTCTATCTTTATACAATGGCCACCTGAGGGCCACTGCACTTACAGCAGCTGTTTGAACCCTCTCTGTGGTTCTGGGTTAATCCAGGATGCAGCATAATGTAAATTCAGCTAACAGAAGATGAATGCAACGCCAGATGGTAGGAATGTTCAACAGTAGCAAGAGCTGCTCCCTATGCATATTATCGGTCTTTAAGCTCCATTTCTAAATCATCTTCTCCTCTGAAGCAAAGAATTCAGTATAATTTACTAACATATTAACAAGGATGGTATCAAGTCTGTTTGAATACAAAATGCCTGTTTTCAGTCCAGCCTTCAAAACATACTGATAAACTCAAATAAACATGAAATGAAAAACAACCACAGCCACTTACTTTTGCTGCTCCTATTTGCTCTTTACGAAACTTCTCCAACGGTGCTATTAGCACATCATTAGCATTCTGGATCTGCAAAGTTAAACACAAATCATATCTTTTTAATAGAGTATTTGCAGAAAGTAGAGTCACTGTAACTCTGCCAATGTGCAAGACTGAAAAATTCAGATCTGTAACGTTCTGGTAAGAGCATATGGGCAGAAGGCAAGTAATTATGTTTTCTTTACACAAAACATACAACACCAACAGACATTAGTCTATTATGGAACATTTTCATGAATAACTAAAGCAATTGTAATGAATGCTTCTCTTCAAGATGTAGAAGGGTTTTCCCTTTTTTCCATTTCTTGCATCTCGCCTAAAACCAGAATAGAGAACGAAAACTTTCAGGAACATGTTTTGGCAGAACAAAGAAGACAAACATATTAGTACTGACAACACTGACTAAAAAAGTCTGTGTTTACAGAATCTGAAACTTTGACAGCTGAATCTTTTCGGTTATCTCTTTGGATTACATACCTAGTTACACTGAACAGAGGAGAGTGAGGCAGAGAACTCTTAAAAAGATAAGTAGACAATCTAAAAAATACTCTAGATTGCGTTCCTTCACTTTTCTAAAATAATTTAAGATGTCCTGCAGCTATTTTTATCCCTTTAACCTAAACCAGAGTTCTTAATGAAACACAGTATTCCCCTCATAGCCTCTGTTTATTTAGTGTAAATCCAGTCCTGGGAACCCCTCTCTGAAAACCATTCCCAGCAGTGACCACCCAGAGTAGTCCCTAGCCTTTTTTCTTCACACCACTTCAGTCTTTACCATACTCATCATTAGGGCTTTGGCAGGTTTGAAAGTCTGGGCAAAGCTAACATGCACCTAAACCAAACATGAATGAATACAGCTCTTGTGGTTCTTCAATAACAATGATTGATAAGTCAAATTGTCAGTTGAGCACAAAAACTTCCCAAAAGCCTGTACTAATAAACACAGAGAATAAGCCCATTGAAACACAAACACATTTTCTTTCCTCCCAAACCTAAAATTACATTTTGAAAGACCACAGAATCACCACAACTCTTAGCAGTTTCAGGAAAAGCTGAGACTCAGTTTGACACCGTAATGAAGCAAAGTCCAAGACAGCAATGGCAAAACTGGAATGCTCAATAATACAGTGATCAAAATTTGCTACATTTAAAAACAAAAATGAGGCACAGATGATAAAAAGGACTGTTTTCACTGCATTCAACATCCTCCGTCAGTTCCACTGGATCAGACTACAGAGTGACTACAGAGGTATCACCCAGCAATCTAATTGGGACTCAACAGTTTTTACAAGGTAAAATGCATAAACCTAAAAAAAAAAGATCATTTCAATTCCAAGGATCTTAAATCTCTAAAGATTAAAGATTAACAGGGGTGCAAAACTTAAATGACTTGCCTACAGCCAGGCAATGTTGCAGTGCATACACCTGGAAGCAGCAGCTCAAAGTTTTGGTAAGTTACAGACCATGTACATAGCATTTGGCAGCACTGAGAGAAATCACAAAGGCTTGTTGGAGTCCCTGGTACAGAACTGTGGATGCATTTTTTATTTTTTTTCATATACAAAACTAAGTTTTTTCTATGCCTTTTAGATTCATTGCTAAATACCTCACAGTTCAATTAAAAGAGACATATGTATTATTAAGTAGTTACTACTGATATGAGCAGTCATTGCTAGTCCTGTTGCTGGTCACTGCCTGGTAAACTAACCTCGTGTGGAGGTGAATGGCCTTCCCTTCACTCAGTGCTACCACATTGTGGTAGCACTGCCATAGTTATGCAGCCTCCATGCCACACCAAGAGACCTCACTTCATATATTGTCCTCTTGACAGCGTTAAGAAACTGTAACATGACTCCTACCCATCTCACTCAAAGCTGCTGCAAAGCAAATGAAGAATCTTGTCGGAAAAGGAATCCTGCTTCAAACACCATGGAAGAACATATTCACAGGAAGCACATTGCACTGAGAGGATTCATCTGAGAAGTAAGCAGCTTTGCTGGGATGAAGCACAGTTTTATAACTCCCACAGTTATACATGAACTGGGAATGGACAGTGGGCATTGCCAAGCTAATTGAGAGATGTCACACACTTCATCTAAACAGGGTCTGTGCCTATAAACAGATCTGCTGAGCCACATCAACAGAACACACTGCAAGCTCATCTCTGTGCTGAAAGCTTCTACTGACAAGAACTCTGATGTGACAATTCATCTCCCAGCAAAAATAGGAGCTAAGCAAGTAATAGGCTTTGATTTTAGGGAGGGAGAACATGGCAGCAAAGGACCAGAGGAAATCCCAGCAGATGCATTTCGACAGCCAGAACTATAAAGATGCAGAACACTTCACTGTGTAAAGACCTCCATCAATTTCCACCAGCTTGTGCCTAGCTTTTGGAAACTTATAGAGAAACTTTTGGAAAATTATAGAGAAAGAAGAATTTTTGCCTTACATAAGAATTTATTAATTTCCTTTTTTTTTTTTTCAATTCGCATCACTGCAACTACTTTACAGTTTTATTTTAAGGATTACAAACTGGCACACAGGCTTCCCCCCTCACCCCCTCCCCCACAAAGTAGGAACCTAATCCTCCCATAACTATTTCTGTGGAAATCTGATTGCTTTAGATAATCTGAAATTTTCACTGTGTGGTCCTAATAGAGTAAATTTCTTGCTGCCAAGATGACAATCCCTCTCCTACTCCTAGTTATTGTGCGAGGTTGAAATCAGGGACACTTGGAACAGGCAAACAATGTCAAAAAGACTGTAACAGTTTCTGTAAATAGCAATTTCAGAAACCCATGTTGTGCTTAAAATATGGATCTTATCCTTCAAAGCTTACTGAGATTAGTTACACTTTTAAAGAAGTTATACTTCCTTGATCCAACAGTTACTGAACGCTACATGGTTCCAGTGCCCAGCCTGGTAATATATGGCAGTCAATCCAAAATTGTGATTGTTTCTCTTGTTGGCAAAAGCACCAGTCTTTCTCCAGAAAAAGAAAAAAAACAAAGGAATCATACAATTTCAACTTGGTGACAGTTCCTCAGTCTTTTTTAATTAAGATGCTATGCAAGTATTAGACAGATGTATTAGGAGAATTACTTTGACAATTGAGAGCTGTATTAGATATAGTAAAAAAGAAACATATTTTTCTAAATTAAAAAACTTAATCAGATTTTTATCTTTGTCATGTATAATTCTACTTAGTTATACTTAACTCTACTTATTGATAAAAATATCATTGAAATAAGTGCCATTAAATCACCCAGAACTTGTAAAATATACTTGTAAAAGAAACACTTAAAAATTCAAACCACTTTTTCTAAGGTAGTTTGGACAATTTATGAGGTCAATCTCTGTTTGCATAACTGCAACATTTCAATACATTCTGACAGACTTTGAGACAACATGGTGATGCACCTTAAATTGTCTTTTCTGATTCTTGATAATCCACTTTTCCAACCCACACTCCTTCCCTTCGAAAATTAGCTATGAAATTGAATTAATGCACCAATACTGAGATTAAACTGGTTTTCACACATCACAGAGAAACTCCACATCTATACTTGGAAATATTTTGAGCTACCAAATTTTTAAGCTTTTCTTTTTTGACTAAAACTTTTAATCAGTAGAATGAAGAACATTATGAGAATCATTATTACACAATATCAGAAAGGGAAGAATACATTTACTGCAAACATATCTGAACATTTCAATTTCTAGATTTTCTTAAATTCAATATTAATTTTTTGAATGAGTTTTCCAATTAGATTTTTAGTTTTTCTAATTTGGGATAGTGAATGATATGCAGTCTTCTTTTACTTAAACTGAAAGAGGGCAGATAAAGATTTAAATGGAAAGAGGGTCGGTTTAGATTTGATGTTAGGAAACAATTCTTTACTGCAAGGGTGGTGAGGCACTGGAATAAAATGCCCAGAGAAGCTGTGGCTGCCTCATCCCTGGAAGTGTTCAAGGCAGGGTTGGATGGGGCTCTGAGTAGCCTGGTCTAGTCGGAAGTGTCCCTGCCCATGGAAGGGAGGTTGGAACGAGATGATTCCTTCCAACCCAAACCAATCTATGATTCTGCGATTCGAACTCCCCTGCCATGGTCAGAGACACTTTCCACTAGACCAGGGTACTCAAAGCCCCATCCAACCTGGACTAGGACACTTCCAGGGATGGGGCATCCACAGCTTCTCTGGGCAACCTGTTCCAATGCCTCACAGTAAAGAATTTCCTTCTAATATCTAATCTAAATCTACCTTCTTTCAGCTTAAACCATTCCCCCTTGTCCTATCACTACTTGAAGGCTTCTGGAAGGTTTGCCCAGCGTCTTCTCATCTCCAGGCCAAACAACCCTTGAACAGAGGCAAGATCTACTAGAAAGCATACAACCTCATTTGTGGAGAACTAAATTTAATCTTGAAAAGTAGACTTGAGATCTGAGACAGTTTAGGATACTTTTTCAATGGAATTTTAACAATTCCATATCGTGATGAAAACCACATTTTCTTGGGAAGCTCAAATCTCTGGCACAGAAAAACTTATGGTGGGGACTGCAGGAGAGAGCAAGCCTATGACTGCCAGGGCTCTCCACTTCCATAGTCAGTTTTGCCTTAAGTGTACCCACGCAGGACTCCTTTGCTGGAGACACTGGCTTACCACTCCTGTGCTCGGCCAGCCTTCATCCTACCCCTCTGTCCCTGAAGCTTTCCTTCTTCAGGATACTGTAAATTCCATGGTAGCAAGAGACTTCCCACTCTAAAGTTTATTTCTCTGATACATTCAAATCCCACAACAATTGGCCAAGCATTTAATCTGACTTCCTGCCCCTCCTGTGACTTGATGCTTAATGGTGGTAACACTACAAAATTTTAAAGGAAAAAAGACAAAAGAGAAAATTCCAAGAGGCATATGCTGTTGAACTAGAAGCTGAAGGAGAAGGGGAAAAAAATATTTAAAAGCTACTTTTTTAAAATCAGCTATTGCAGAAATTTGTATTACTGTACATATTGGAAGACACCTTACGC